TAAAAAATAAAATAAAATTATAACAAAAATTTAAAAAAAACTCTTAAATAAAAATCAGAGTTATTTAAATAATAGAAAAAATTTGTAATAAATATCAATTAATAATAATTTGATAACGTAACACAAGCATAATTTTTAATTAATTTTTTATAATTTATTAAATTATAAAGAACGCAATAACTATAATATTTCAATATTTGGAATTTACTAAGTTATAAAAATAAATCACTACTCGGAAAACCAGATTAAAATACTTTCTTTTTCTGTTCGATAGCTTCTTGAAAAATTGGCAAATTGTCAGGAACACAGTTTAAAAATGAAACAAATTGTAACAGTATCATCTGTCTTTCAATATCTATAGTTTTCTTATTTTTGTAATATAATTTTCTTATTTTTATTATTAACAGATCTCTTCGAACATAATCAGTAATTATTTGATTACAAGATATTTCTATTAAACAATTCTAAATTTTAAGCATCAATAAATTCCTTATATATCATAAGTCACATAGTTATGCACATAAAAATAATACATTATAAATTATTTTATTAATATTGTGAAGAATAATTACGATCATTATAATGATATAAAGTAACTGACGTCTTAAACGAACTCATCCTCGTCGAAAAATAGAATTAGTATTGGAGTGGGCGTAAAGAGTTGGACCGTTTCAAAATTGCATAATTTTACGAAAATTAAACGAGGACGGAATATGAAGGACGAAAGTATTTTGATACATTCGTACCGTCCATTATCATACAACGGGTACCTCGATGTGCCTTGATGGCCAATGAACTAATTGTTAGTATATCAGCTTTCATTGGACGTAATTGTGCGAACATATGAACGCATTGTAGTTGCACTTGTTCTGTGGGTCACTCTAAACGGGATACGACATAGTTCTTTCATGTCCAGATTCACCGATGTTTTCAGACTATTTATGCACGCAATCATGATGCTCATTCTTCACTCTTTCTGTCTTTGTAACACAAAAAAAAAATATTAGCGTGACAAAAATGACACACGTAATAAAAATTAATATAAAATTATTAAACCTATTAAATATTTATGATTTTAAAAGATTTTGTTTTATTAGTATGTATTTAAGTTGCAATGAAAATTTAATCTCATTGTCAGAGTCAATTGCTCTTGGCAACTGTATTTGCCAGTAAACATTGATATTGAAGGTTATGCTCTAATTTTGATTTTATCATACAAAATTCTTAATTTGACGATCTTGAAATTAAAAGTTCCTATATGAACAGCAGAATATATAAAGTATATAAAAAAATTATTCCAATTTCAAACAATAAAATTTCAATAACTCGATGTAATAACATGTTAATGTATGCCTCTGTTAAAGTAATAAAAAATATAATAAATATATATATATAATAAGTTAATATATAATTTCTTAGAAATGTTGAATTTAACAGTTTTACTTAATTTCGTAAAAATTATAATTTTGAATTTAAATAATTTTGCGTAAATTATCTATATTAAGATTCCAAAATTCATAATATTATAGCATATGTGTGCAGATAATTTTATTTAGAAAATATTTATTTAAAATCAATGATTTGAAATAGCTATTTTAAGCATATATACACTAATCTTTCTGCTAAAATTGAAGAGCTATTAAAAATTGCAATTAGCAATGTAAGATTAAATTATATAATGTTATATAAAGTTTGTCTTTTTCACATGTTTTTTAAATTGTTAGTAAAACACATATTGATGTAAGTAATCTTCAGTATTTACTAATAATCCAAAATTTGTCAGTGTTGTTAAAATTTATCACAGCGTTGTTAAAATTTATCTTTCTTAAAGAACATAAGCTTTTACTAACATGTTTTTATGTTGATAATAATTCGATATAAATTCTTTTATCTAGAAATGTCTAAAAATTGTCTTCAAGAAAATTTCACATTTTAATATTACATAGGTAAAAATAAAAAAGTAATTTATTTTCGATGCACAAATTTTATTCTCTTGTACATAAATAAAATTACAAAATATGATATGAAAATTTCCATAACGATACTCTTACTCTTGTCTTTCATTCTCATATCAGTTGACATACTCGTGCATGCTTATATTATACATTGTTATTATAGATATCAACTAATTCTGTAACATCACGATTTATGCGTGCAATGGTTGATGGCAATCGTTAATTATGCATACAAACGATTGAATATGCGACGACTCAGTTTATTGTCGATAAGAAAGGTCGTGGCCATCGTAAAAGTTCATCTTTGGCTGTCGAAGTGAGTTTAATACCGTAACGAAATTCAACGATTGTGCATGTGATAAATTGGCATCCTCTCTCTGTCGTTAATAACGCATAAAGTACTTTCGGAAAATTATCTTTAGCTATTAGCTAGAATAACAATTTTTTATTGCCCCTCTCCTCCCTTCCATCGAATGAAAGTGTACAGGGGTCAGTGCGCGGAATTCTTTGTCCTCACGCAAGGTCCGAATGTGTTGCGTGAGCAGGTCCAACGTCTAATTGAAACCAGGACCACTAGTGCATGAACGTCATTGTTCTTACCGAACAACATGATCTTCTGTCTTGCATCTCCACGGGTCATTGTCGTGCCGTTCTAGATTTCTTTTCGCTAGATCTTCTGTTCGTTATCGTCGTCATAGCTGTTCGAAACGAATCTAAGAAACGAGTCTAAGAAAATTGTCGCTTAAAGTAAAAGAATTATAATTCGGCTAAATAAATTTAATAATGATTGCATTGAATACAAATAGTGCGGATCACGAAAGAACTACGTGAAAAGTGTAGAATGTATAATCCAATATAATTATATGACAGTCCGTGTTATTATTGTTTGTGAATCGACAAGTGAATAATTACGTGAAGTTCAATATGGTGAGCACAAATCCGCCCATAGGGACAAACACCCTTAATCGTAAGAGAAATACATTTTGTGGAGTGCCAAAGGCTGAAATTGAACGTAGGACTAATGCGCTTTTACAATCTATGACGGTGAGTTTGAAAATTACAAAGACGGTTGTGATTAATAAAAAATTTATAAAATCATTTACTTGAAAAAAATATTTATATAAATATAA